TCTTGTGTTATCCTGACTGTGGCACTATGATATTTGAATTATTTCTTTCTGGTTGCTTACAATATTTTCTCCTTGACCTGGGAGCTCTGGAATTTGGCTATAATATTCCTGGGAGTTTTCATTTTGGAATCTCTTTCAGGAGGTGATTGGTGGATTCTTTCAATTTCTATTTTACTCTCTGATTCTAGGCTATCAGAGCAGTTTTCCTTGACAATTTCTTGAAAGATGATGTTACGGCTCTTTTTTTAAAAATTGACTTTCAGGTAGTCCAGTAATTTTTAAATTTTCTTTCCTGGATCTGTTTTCCTGGTCAGTTGTTTTTCCAATTATTATTTTACATTTTTTTCTGTTTTTCATTCTTTTTATTTTGTTTTTATCATTCCTTGATATCTCAAGGAGTCATTAGCTTCCATTTGCCCAGTTCTAAATTTTAAGGAATTATTTTCTTCATTGAGCTTTTATACTTTCTTTTCCATTTGGCCAATTCTGCTTTTTAAGAAGTTCTTTTCTTCAGTGAATTTTTGTATATCTTTTTACATTTGGCTGATTCTGGTTTTTGGAGTGTTTTTCTTTTCAGTGGGTTTTTGTGCCTCTTTTACCATTTAGCCTAAGGTGTTATTTTATTCAGTATATTTTGTGCCACCTTTACCAAATAGTTTTCTCTTTTTTCATGATTTTCTTGCATCACTCTCATTTCTTTTCCAAATTTTCCTCTGCCTCTCTTACTTGACTTTTAAAATTATCCTTGAGCTCTTCCATGGCCTAATACCAATTCATGTTTTTCTTTGAGGTTTTGGATGTAGAAGTTTTTACTTTGTTGTCTTCTTTTGCATTTTTGTTTTTATCTTCCCCGTCACCACAGTAAATTTCTATGGTCAGCATTTTGTTGTTGTTGTTTTTTGCTTATTTTTCCTGCTATTTCTTGATTTTTAACTTTATATGTTAAAGTTGGGCTATATTCCCAAGGTGGAGGGGACACTGTTCTAAGCTTCAGGTTTTTTGTGCAACTGTTTTCAGAGCTAATTGTGGAGGTCTGTAAGTTTTTATTTCTTCTCAGGTGATATGATCTAAGGAGAGGTATGTTTATTCATCTCCTGGCGTATACTCTGGTCTGTGGGTGACCACAAGTGCTTTTTCTGCCCTTGAACTATGACCAGAATTCCTGCTCCCCTATGGCCACAAGCTGTGGTATGCTAGTGCTCCTCTTTGCTCTAGGACTGCAACCCAGTACTATAATCTAGATCTGCATATAGGCAGTGCAAGAGTCCTGCACCCCATGCCAGCAAAGGGACCTCTTTATTCTCCTCCTGAGCAGTTGTCTGACCCCCTTACTCTCTGTGCATTGAGGTCCAGAAGCCATTACTGCAGCTGCTGATTCAGTCATCCCCAAGACCTGCTTCTGGTTTGCTGAAGCACAACTTGCACTCCACTCTCACCCCAGTATGACAGATCTTTCCTATCATCCTTGGAGTAGAAAATTGTTAGGCTGGAAAATTGTTTCATTCTATGCTTTTGTGGATTCTGCAGCTCCAGAATTCATTGTGAGGCATTATGTAAAGTTGGAGGGGAATTTGGGAGAGTTCAGGCAAGTCCCTGCCTTTTCTCTGCCATTTTGACTCTGCTTCCCTTGCCCAAAGTGAGACTATTTTAGAGATAGATCTTAGTTTATATGTGATATGCTACCAATCATTCTCCTCAGTATATATTTATTAAATAATTAAATATAGTTCATGGCCTTTATCAGTAGCAGAGGAAAGTATAAATAAAACCATTTAAATATAAAATGGAACCAGAAATCCCCAAGTTCTTATCACCAGAGCCATGTATAAGTCAATTACTTATTCCTTCTCTGTGAAATTAATATTCTGCAGTTAATATAAAAATTATTTTTGTAAAGAATTTTAGAGATGGGAAGCAATGCATGAAAGTTGTTGTTTAGTTGTTTTTCAGCCATGTCTGGCTCTTTGTGATCCTATTTGGGATTTTCTTGGCAAAGATACTGGAATAATTTACTGTTTCCTTCTCTAGCTCATTTTACAGATGAGGAAACTGAAGCAAACAGGGTTAATTGACTTGCCCAGGATCACACAGCTAGTGAGTGTCTGAGACCAATTTGGAACTCAGAAAGATGAGTCTGAGGCCTGGCACTCTATCCACTGTGCCATCTAGCAGCCTATGAAGGTTGGAAATTATTATTATTATATCACAGAAAACTAAAGTTACATCATAGGTTTTCTGTGACCTCACAAGCACCTCTGGATTTGCTGTCATAGTTACCATGTAGCTGTTGGAACTCAGGTGCTTTGTAATGTTACTGCATTGGGAAAATCACTTCACTGCCCTAGCTTCAGCCAGGAGAACTCAAAGACAGATGATCCCAAGTGGGTTCCTTCTTAGACTAACAATTATAAGAATTGGTGCTTCATTTTAATTTTTTAGAACTGGTAAATCTTTATCCTTGATGGAGGAGCCATAAGTAGTTTCATTTATCCTGCTAGTTGATTGATTGCTTTACAAGTAAATGTGGGACTGGAATTGATTGATTTCTGTGTTTTGTTTGAAAATTTATACTTTAAGTGAAAAAAAACCCCTCTAAATTCTGTTTGGAAATGAGAGAACCATGATTTTCTGAAAATTATAACTTTTTAAGGCAACTAAATAAGGAAAGCATTACTAAATTGTAGTCATTTTCTTATAGGCCTATTACAACTGTAGCAAGAGCACTCTACTTAGGAATCAGTAGACCTGGTTGAAATTCTGGCTTTGCCGCTATTTGTTTGTGTGACCTTGAACAAGTCAAGTCATCTCTTTGGGCTTTTGTTTACTCATCTATAAAATGAGAGGGCTGGATTAAGTGATCCCTAAGGTCCTTTTCGGTTCTAACATTCTATGATTCTAGATTTTTGCTCAGTCCCTTTGTAATATTTCTTTCTTAAATGTCTAATATGCCCCTAAACTGATACATTGAGAGTACCTGAAATGTTATCATCAAATTAATGCTCAAGATTAAGAAAATTCCAGTGGCTACAGAATAATATCTGTCAATTTTTTAAGTTAATGAAAAGCCTTTATTTAAAACTTTAAAATAGGGTCCCTTGATTAAAATTCCTCTTATCATCCTCTAACTAAAAAAAAAAAGCACTTCAGCTTGTTCTAATGTTATTTATCTGGAAAGTAATTTAGAGTTTAAAGAGACACCTTGCTTAAGAAGGTGTAAATGCTTTATTAATAATAATAATAATAATAATAATCCTGTATTTTTCTAAATGAAGGTAATGCCGATGACTGACGCTCAACCATGTCTACTGTTTCTCCAGGAGGGGTGATGGATAAATCTTTCTCCTACTCCTATTTATGAACATGCATTTAGAAGCTGGCCAAATCAGTTAAGGGTGTAAGTCAGGAGTCATAGAATAGAACAAAGCTAGCTCACAGAGGGATAAAATCCACAGCTTTGGGCATTCGCACTATGTTCTAGTCAACTAGCTATAATACTAAATGTCAGTTATAATAGAGTGTGGCATTAAAAGTTTTATTATAAAAAGGTCTGCTAAGAATAACAGAGTTGGGGCAGCTAGGTGGCACAGTGGATAGAGCTTTGGCCTTGGAGTCAGGAGGACCTGAGTTCAAATCCAACCTCAGACACTTGACACTTGCTAGCTGTGTGACACTGGGCAAATCACTTCACCCCAATTGCTTCACAAGGAAAGAAGGAAGGAAGGAAGGAAGGAAGGAAGGAAGGAAGGAAGGAAGGAAGGAGTGGCAACTCTAGATTAAATGTCTTCATTAATGAAATTGAAGTAGATATCTATGAATTTTTAGATTAAAATATTTGTAGCTTCTGGTTTTTATTAGATTTGTGTTAAGGATTTCCCTATTGTGATGTACATAGGGTAGTAGTTTTAGTTGTGGGAAAGATCCATTGTATAATCACAAGCACTTACATTTTTTTCTTTAAACTTTTTAAGGAAGAAAGTTGAGGAATCCTGATTTTTAAATCAGAATTATATTTTGAACTACTGGTCTTAGTAAAATAATTAAAAGGCAAAGGAAAGTCATAACTTAAAACAAAACTATAGAATTAACCAAAAGTTCAACTGCTTCTTAGTCTTGAACAGCTCTAGCATACACATAAGTCTTAACTTTGACTAATTGCTTTTTGTTGATCCACTGAACTTACTCAATCCCCATGGTCCAGTAACTCATTCTCAGATTCATAGATTGTCTATAACTCTTCCTTCTTCCTGTGATTTTTTCGCTTTCAGGCCTTTTCATTGATCATGAGCATCTTAAGCAAAGAGTCTTCTTGTAAGAGAAAGAATGTGAAATTCTAATTAAGTGACTTTCAAACTTTTATTTCACAGAATCTGTGGAATCTCTGAAACATGGCTAGGGATTTGTTAAAAGAAAGTGTAGTCATATACAGACTTGGTGTCTATTCCTTCATCTTTAGGCCCCAGTGTAGCACTACTTCAAAAGTTGGAGTTTAAGATATAAAAAATTACCACCCCCAAAAAAAACCCCAGAAAATTTGTACAACCTTAAATTGTTAAGACCACTAATCTGAACAATTGATTTTTGCTATTTCTGCTGAGCTGTGATAAAAGTTTAGATTGGGAAAGATGGTGAAATTCATGGGTGAAAGGAGGTTTTGAAATTTTACTTTTTAATTATCCCCTCTGTATCTAGCCTTTGTTATATAATCAAATGCTAGTTCTAGTTTCAATTATGCATCCCAGCATCTGCTTACATTTTTGATTCCATTATGTTGCTTTTTTATTGTGTTTAGCTTTTTATCTAGTAGAGATAGCTACTCCTTGGTTCCCTTAATGCCTAATTAATTTTGCTAGCTTTTTTTTTTCCACAGCTCTTATAAAAAGGCTTGGCAAGAGAGAAAACTGAAACTATTCGGCCAAAATGCCCAATTTATTTCTGAGTGATATTCCCCTATGAAACTTGATGCTATGTTTCAGTAATAGAATTTATTCTGTTTTACATAGGGCTGAATTGTAACCACAGGTGCTGCGACAAAGAACACTTTAAAGATGCATAAAAGTCTGTTTAAAGTGAAGAGAAAGAACTGGATAAAATAATGAGGTAAGGAAAGCTTTTATTTCTCACCTAAATAAAATGAATCTGAATCTTAAATTTTGTTGCAACTCCAGCTTTTATAATTTTGCATTCATTGATGTAATGTGAATATCATTAATAAGAAAAACTAGACAACTGTATAGCTTATGGTGCTTCTGTACATGATATACTTTTTGGTTGCTAATTTTGTTGAACAGAAAGATTTTTTGTTTGTTAAAAAAAAATCAAGAAGATAAAGAGCATACAAATTAGGATAGATGGCCTATACGAGAAGGTAAATCTGGTAGGAACATAATAGATATTAATTAGTTTGATTAATGTTATCTACACAAAAAAGAGATTTGATTAGTCTTTGAGACTCTGAGCTTGTTGAATATGTTTTGTGTCTGTTATTGCAGTTGATAAGCCCATTCCGGTGGTCTATTTTTTAACTTTAATGGAAGACCTATCTTTGTGCATCATTATTTCATTTTTAATTTGATTCAATTAATCAGGTATTTGTTAAGCACTTACAACATATAGAACTCTAGACTACAAACTCTGAGATAACCTGAAAATCTAAATTAATACATATCACTCAAGTTGCAGGCATGTGAATGTGTATTGCATTTTAATTCCTTTGTGCCCTAATAAATTCTCAAGAGGAAGGAAAAAGGTATTAGACTATAAGATTGATAAAATTTATACTAAGGCAATGAGGTAAGTATTAGTAATAAGACATAGTACTTATCCTGAAGAAACATAGAATTTGATAGGGAAAACAATATAGACAAAGTGCTAATGAACATGAATATGGCTGTTTTCCCCTTTATGAAATAGGTATGTTCTAATGCAATTAATATCTTTTTTAAAAATTCATCATATTTTTATTTATGACTTTTATGTCACATTCATTTCTAACTTTATCCCTCCTATTTTTCTACCCAGGGGACCATCCCTCATAACAGAGTTTTAAAAAGAAAGAGGGGAAAAAAATAGTTCAACAAAACTAACCAGTATATATACACACTGTGTCTGATAGCATATGCAAAATTGCATGCCCATAGACTTCCATTTCTACTATGGTAAGGAGGTGCATTTTATTCATCTCTCTCCTTTGGGACTATACTTGGTCATTAGAATTATGCAGGGGCAGCTAGGTAGTGGAGTGGATAGAGCACCGGCCCTGAAGTCAGGAGGACCTAAGTTCAAATACGGCCTCAGACCAAACACTTGATACTTATTAGCTGTGTGACCCTGGGCAAGTCACTTAACCCCAATTGCCTAAAAATTAAAAAATTTTAAATTTTAAAAAAAATTACGGCTGTTCAGTCTATATTTTTAGCTCTTTGCATTTATGTTGTTGTAGTCAGCCATTGTGGAATTTTGTGTGTGTGTGTGTGTGTGTGTGTGTGTGTGTGTGATACTTATTGTCAGTGCTTTGAAGACTATTGTGTTTCTTGTTTCCCAGTTACATAACAACACCAATAGAATATTGATATTAAAAACATGGGCCTTTGTTTCTGGAAGAAATTTGGGGTCATTAACGGAGCTTTGTAATTTCCTGAACACAACATAGCCTGCTGTCCTCTTACTTAATTCTTGCCCCAACCCATTTTCTATGTGTACTGTTTGTCCTGATATATATACTGGTGGAGAAGTTTTATGGAATGTCCAGGTAAACTGCATGTCATCACTTGAGCAATAGACATTTTCTATTCACTTGGTTTTTCCTTTGTGGTTGGTCAGACCAAACTCTTACAGGAGTCTTTGTGTTACCATGTGCTTGATGTAACATCTGGAGGACATCGTCATCTAAAGGAAACCCCTCTTCAACATGGCCTGCCCTGGATCTCCTCTATTACAGTGGCAAACACTTTTGGCCAACATAAGTCTCCCTGTTTTATACCTCACCTGGTTTTTCTGATCAAAGGGTCACTCAGCAATGTTACCTCCGTAGTTACTCGCATCTTTTAAAGAATCTTGAATGATCTGGACATATATTTAGACGACACTTTGTTGGAAGAGAGTCTTCAAGGTGCTGTTTTCTTCTACCAATTCAAATGCTTTTTTAAAAATAAAGCAATAAGCACAATAGAATCTTGGAGTCTCTACATCCTTCAGTCAGTTGTGTGGTGGGATGGAGAAACATTCATTAAGTGCTTGCTGTGTGTATATTATATATCAGATCCTGTGCTGAGCACTGGGGGTGCACAAATAGAAAACAATACAATACCTGCTCCGAAGGAGCACGTATCCTCATTAGGGCAGATGTCTTGCATAAGAAGGCTCCATTTTAGGGTGGCTGGAAAGGCCAAGTGGACTTTGGGAAGTTGGTTGGTTGGTTGGTTGGTTGGTTGTTGTCCTCCCTCATTCTTGAAAATGACCAAAATGACATCACTATGTTAGAGGCAAGTTACAGTGCATTCAGCTGTTGCTGATCAGACCAGTACAAGCTTGGCATGCTCTACCGCAGTTCATGCACACATAGTCCATGTGGACATTTGGGGTGGATTCTCTAAATCTGTGCATCTCATGTTTCTTTAGGGCTACTTCATTTCTGCTTTGCTTGTAGAGGTAAGTACCTTTTTTGATGCAGGCACACCATGCTGGGCGGTCCTGTGCTGGAGTTTCCCGTGTTACACAATCAATTCCAAAGTTCTTAAGAGAGACCTTTAGAATGTCTTTGTATCGCTTCTTCTGACCACCATGTGAGTGCTTGCCCTGTGTGAGTTCTCCATAAAATAGTCTTTTTGGCAAGCATACAGTTGGCATTCGAACAACATGGCCAGCCCATCATAGTTGTGCTGTCTGCAGTAGAGTTTGAATGCTTGGCAGTTTAGTTAAAGAAAGGACCTCAGTGTCTGGTATCTTATCTGCCAAGTGATCTTCAAAATCTTCCTAAGAATTCAAATGGAAGTGATTCAGTTTCCTGGCATGGCATTAGTATACTGTCCAGGTTTCACAGGCAAGTTTACTGTAAACATTTTCCCCAGTTTCCTGCTGTCCTTCTAATCTTGGCTGCATTGGTTTTGTTTGTGCAAAACCTTTTTAATTTCATGTAATCAAAATTAGCCATTTTATGTCCTATCATACTCTCTCTTTTTTGGTTATAAACTCTTCCCTTATCCATAGATCTTACAGATAAAATATTCCATGCTCCCCTAATTTGCTTATGATATCACCCTGAAATATCTAGTTTCTGCCAAACTGCTTTCCAGTCCCACAGACTGTCTTTTGCTTCTTTTTGTATCTTAACACAGTGCCAGACACATAGTAGGTGCATAATAAATGTTAAATCACCAAGTTAGAAAAAAGGCTAAAGATGATTTTTTAAAAGACACTTTGAGCAATGCCAGTAGCTTTAACCTGATCTATTAAAATGAGTATTCAGTACAGAAAAGTTTTAGGAAGTGGAAAAAAAAGGCCAATATATTGACAGTCATTGCCATTTTCTAGAAAAGTTTAATATAAAGCAGTAGCCATAGCAAAAGAGGCCAAAAAAGCCCAGAAATCTCCTTGGCTGAAAAGACAATTTCCTTGCTACATAGTGAGAGATGGCAACCAAGAGAAACACTGATTTAGAATACATGTAAGAGAATGAAGGAAGATGACAAGTGGTATTGTCTTTTAAAACAGGGGAAAACAATGGAAGCAAAAAACAAGTCTACAGAAACCTTGGTTTGAGACTCTCCTACGTATCATACCATGATCTACATCATCCCAGCAGCATTCATGGATGAAACTGACATAGAGACAACAAATAGAACAGGGCTGTCAGTGTTTCTATAATCTGTTTTCATCATTATGGCAGAAGAACCATATGATGCCTTAGTCCTCGATGTATGTGATAAGAAAAAAAACAGAAATGACACTTAGGAAAATAAAATTGGAAAAAGTTGCTAGACCAGACCAAGCAAAACCTGATGACATCATTCTGGAAATATGATATAGTAAAATATTGTTATGCTATGAAAAATGACAAATATGAAAAATTCAGAGAAGAATGGGAAAATTTCTCTCAACTGTTAGAGAATAATCAGTATTTGTAGAATAGCATATACAACTACAATAATGTAAAAGAAAAAATACTAAAAAGCATCTGAACTTGTAAATTATTATGACTAATCTTAGTCCCAGAGAACAGATGATCAAACAAACTGAGAGGTAGGGAGTATGTATGCAAAATGTTAAATATGTTGTCAGAGGTAGTCATTATTGATTAGTTTTGCTGAATTTTTTTTCCTATATTACATAGGAAGGTTAAGTTGGGAGGGGGTGGAGTATGTATTGAGAAAGGACTAAAATGTAAGAACAAAAGACATCAATAAAACTTTCTTCAAAAAAAAGGAAATCTACATTGTAAATAACAATCTTGAAAGCATTAAGGTATTACTCTATAAGATAGGCAGGGAAAGATACCAAAATTAAAATACCAGAATGAAAATATATATATATGAGTATCCCCAATAAGTTAGCTGACCGAAAGATCAATAACTATCAACTTATATACCTAACTTCTTGTCTTTATGAGAATGATTTACCTATGTATCAAGAGTTTCCTAAATTAAAATGTAAAATAGATCAGGTAAGCTTCTGCAAATTATTTTATTGATGTTATATTCCCCAGTTTCCCATTATAGTGAAGTGACTAAGACTATAAGCAATTGACAAAAGAAGCCTAGAGACCAATTTTTTTACCTTGAATATCAGAATACTGTTCATTTCGTTAAACCATTAAATATGTCTTAGTTCTTCAGAGAAAATATTTATAGTGGGACTTGAAATGTAAAGGCTTTAAAACAAAACTTAAAGACTTTTCTCCAATAAGGAGTCTCTCAGGATCATACATATCAAACAGAATTCCTTTATGAATACAACAGAGATATCTTTGTTTGGTGATTTTCTGATTATTAATATTAAGCAAGGCAAAAATCAAAGAATGTATATACCATTTTCAAAGAGGATGTGTAGTGCCTAAATTGAAAGCTATTCCATAGACAAAAGAATCCTCCAGTTTTTGCTTG